ATCGTCATGCTGAGGATGCTGCCACAGGCAGCCACTGAGGATGACGTACGTGCCCCCCATGGCCCCGGGCAGGTGGCAGAGCAGGAGGCCAGGCTGGGTTTCCTCCAGCGCCCTCAACTTCTCCCTCACCCCCCCGATCTTAGCACCTTTCATCCCTTCTCCCCACCGGCTCCTGTCTCCCAGCACTGATCTGTCCTCTTGGCAGGCCTTGTCTCCTGGTCTGGAACGGAGGAGTGTAGTGTCGGACAGATTGGCTTGTTTTCCAAGGGGCTGCCGGTGGTGGGTGTGGGAGGGAACAGAGCATTCCTCCTGCACATACCCCTGGTCCTTCGTTCTTTCGAGGGTCAGATGTTGGCCAGGCCCAGTGCCAGGCCAAATGCTGGGTATTGCAGAGATGATGCTGGTGGAGAGGGTCCCCGTGGGATTTTCTGAGGTTTTATTCTCACCCCTCCCCTCACCCTCTTTTGTCACCTGCATCAGATCTCCTCACTGGCCTGGCCACAGAGCCTTGTGTTTTTCTTCTTTTTTTTTTTTAATCCTTATCCGAGGACATGCTTAGAGAGAGGAAGGGGAGAGAGAGAGAGAAAGAGAGAGAGAGAGAGAAAGAGAGAGGGGGAGAGAGAGAGAGAGAGAATGAATACTTAGAGAGGAAGGGAGAGAGAGAGAGAGAGAACATCGATGTGGGAGAGAAACATCAATCGGTTGCCTTCTGTACATGCCCTGACTGGGGATTAAACCCACAACCTGTGTGTGCCCTGACCAGGAATCGAACCGGCAACGTTTCGGTGCACAGGACAATGCTCAACCAACTGAGCCATTCTGGCCGGTGAAGCCTTGGGTTTTTCTTTGACTTCCTTCCATTGCTGCTAACAGCCTCTCCACACTGTTTTCCTTCGTGGTGTTCCCTTCCATCTTCTTTCATTTTCTCCTGTTTCCTTCTCTATAGACTTCCCCTAAGGAGTTCCAGTAAAACCCCAAGAGGGCCACTAGAATAGCCTCCTGATTCTCCTCCTCCTCCCTGCCACCCCTCTTCCCTATGAATTCTCTGCTCAGCTCTCCTCTGAAATCTGCCAGCTGCCCTCAAGTCTGACCCGCCTGCCTTGTTCCTGGTCAGACAGTAGCTGAGTGCTGACATTTCTTGAGGATTTATCACAGAGTGGGCCATACACCAGGTCTGATTTAATCCTCACATCCACCCCTCGGAGAAGGTACTCTTTGTATTTCCATCCTATGGATGAGGAAGCTAGGCCCTCAGCAGTGAAGTGACTTGCCGCAGGTCCCACAGCCAGTGAGTGGCAGAGCTGAATTGGGGTCTGAAACTGGGCAGCTGGGCCCCAGAGCCCAAATTCTTGCTGTTCTCTGAGCCCTTCCTGAGTGTTTGCAGTCCTGAGAAACTCTTCTGTGTGTCCTTTTTCATTCTCCTGTGTGTGCGTGCATATGCACGCGTATGTGTGTTTAATCTCCTTTCTGTTGTTTAACCTGGTAAGGAAACTGAGGCCCAGAGACACTAAGACTGCTGCCTGAGAATGCCCAGCACACACTCCTAGTCTTCTGCAAGAGGCACCTCTGGCCTAGAGACCCTGCCTCACCTGGTCCAAATCCCGAATTGCTTCTGCAGCTTCCCTCTGGCTTACTTCATCCAAGAAGCTTTCCAAACCTCACAACCACACCTTTTTGTCTTTGCCCCAAGTTTTGCTTCATTCAGGTTCTAGGACACATGGCTTGGGTTTTCTCAGACCCCAGTCCTTCCTAGTTTCATATTTGTGTGTCATGGGTGTCTTTCGATGCAAGCAGAGGGCAGCTCCTTTGCTAACTGCCAGAACTGCATCCCAACTTTTCTTGCTTTGTGGCTTCACCAAGCCTGTTGTCAGGCCGCCCCTGCCCACCATTCTTGATATGCAGGCTCACTTGCTCTCTTATTGTTCTCTGCCCTCAAGTGTCATGCCATGCTTCACCTTGCACCTTGCCCCTTCATTTGACTCACTCTACAAGTCTGGGACCAAAAGCTGAGACTGGGTACTGGTGTGGGTTTGGGGCTCTGGTCACTTGGGGAAAAGCCCTGAGAGAGAGAAAGAAGAGGCAGTGTGTGCGCATTACCAATGGCCCCTTGGGGCCCTGGAGGCCTCCAGCTGGCCTCAGCTACCCAGCAGTCCCCTTGTGCTGAGCCTGCCCCAATCTGTATCTCCCTTTACAGATCCGTGGCCAGCTGCAGTCCCATGGCATCCAAGCACGGGAGGTACGGCTGATGCGGAACAAATCCTCAGGTGAGCTTTTGTTCCCAGTGCCTTCCCCTTCTGCTGGCCAGCCTTCGCCACCAAGTCTCCTCCTGCCTCTGCCTCCTACGTACCCTCCCTACCCTGCCTTCCTGCCACAGCTGGGAATGGGCAGCTTGGGGTACCCCTCTTCTTCTCTCCCCCTCATCCCACTCTCCTCACAGCTCTGGCCAGCAGCCTCTATCGAGGGGCTGTTGGGGAGGAGGTGCAGCTCTGAGCTGAGCTGAGCACTTCCCAGGGGCAGGGCCAGGGCCAGGCTCCGGGGAACCTCCTCTCTGGGACTCTGAGTGTCTGAGATGGTAACCACCTCCCAATATACTCCCTTCCCTCTCCTTTCTTCTCCTTCCCCTGTCCTCACTCTCCTCTACATTTTTCTGGTAACAGCCTCTGACCAGAAAATAGGTCTGGCATGGCCCCACCCATGTATCCCAAGAGGGGAGGCAAGGGATGGCTCTCATCCCAGGGCTCATCCCAAGGAGCAGCCAGGACTTCTGGCCTCACTTGTCCCCTTCCTCCCTCTTGCAGGCTGCTTAGAGCTGGCCTGGAGGTAGTAGGGGGTTTGGGGGGAAGCTGTCTCTACAGGATCTCTGGCCAGGCTCCCCAAGGCAGGCACAGTGGGGCCTCACTCTGCCTGGGCTTCTCTCTCCATCTCAGTCTCTCTCCTCCCCACACCTTCGTATCTATATCTATATATCTATGTCTGTCTCTCTCTATCTGTGTGTATCTCTCCCCCCCTCTCTCTATGT